CGTCAGGAATTGCATTGTGAGAAAAGTGCATAGAGCTGAAGCTGGTGCTGGGTGACAGTGCATCTGGGTAAGGCAAATGACAGGCAGTGAGGCGATTTCAGAATGGCATTGATGTGATTAACTTGAGGTCAGGGGTTCACACTAGAGTCCCAGGCTTGGCTTTTTCCTGTCCATACCACTGGACATCTGCTAATTCTGGATAGAGGGGAGCATCCAGGAAACAGCTATCACTGTAGGTCCTGCAGGAGAAAGGAAACTTCATTAGGACAACGAGGGCTCCTGGAAAGCTCTGTCATGGTCATAAAACATTGTATTATGAGTGGGAAGGAACACAGGGTGTTCACAGACCCTGCTGCATTCTGCAGGGACCCCCAAAGCTGATGATTGGGGTGGGCTCAGCATGCAAAGCTTTGACCCAATTTGCTCTTGCCTGGCAGTTCCCTGGCAGGATGCACTGCAAGGGAGCAGCGCAGCTGCTGGAGGGGAGAGACTGTGGCTGACCTTACTGTTGGTGTCCACCCCACCCCAGGTCTAGTGGTACCAGACCTGCCTCTGCTTTCTCTGTGTGTGGCCCCATCCCTCCTGGGGATCAGCAGCAGCTCTCTGCCTTGCATCAGGGGCTCTGTCTCACTTTCCTGCCCAGTAGTAGAGATGTTTCAGTAGGACACTCTTAAGGAGCAGGTCAGCAGAGCAGACCTCTTGGCCATGGACTGTGTTACCCAGTGGGAACACGGGAGGAGGAGGGTAGTGGTGCTTTCCTGTAGGACTTCTGCTCTGGGCAGAAGCTTGTGTGCTACCTGGCAGTCTCAGAGTTACATGGCTTTCCAGGAGAGAGCTGAGAAGGGACGAGTGGCAGGGTGTCAGGGCCAATGTGGAAAGGACCCTGTTTTGTCACAGGTAGCCTAGTCCTCATCTTGGGATGCCTCTCTTGACAAGTTACTGCTTCTGCTGCATGTTATTCTGTTTGCTTGCACACAGCAGACAACACACACTATGGGAATTTTCTTTGCTATTTATCTTAGAGCTCTGATCAGGGTTGGATCCAGGCTTAGTCTGCAGAGCTCCCTGCCAGAGAAAAACACTGAGGTCAAAATCTTGTTGGTATTTTGAAAAGTGACTGCTGTATCTGCATAGTAGTATTCAGAACTGATCTCTCCCTCACACTTTTGATTTTTAACCAGTTTCCAAACCAGTGACTGTTTTGAGGCCAAAAGTGGGAGAGGCATTTTCTTTCTGTTTACTGTGGGGTTCTTGCTTCTTCCTCAGCTCCCTCCTTGCCTTGTGGGACTGATGCAGTCCAGCAGTTCCCGCTTCCTCTATCCTGTTTTCCACCTGGTTTCTTTGAGACCAGTGTCTGGGAGGAACTTGAGCAAGGTTATCACTGTCTGCATGTTAAAGGGCCTTTTGTTTCCCAGCATGGGTTATCTCTAGAAAGCTGGGCTTGAAATACTAGACAGATGCCAGCTGTGAATGGTTGTGGATTCCAATGAGAGTGTCAGACATGACAGCAGTTTAATTAAAATAGAAATACTCTGAGGGTATTTTTTGTTCCCACCACCCTTCCCCTCTGTCTTCCCATAGGAATGGGACTAGGCTTGCTCCTTGCTCCATGAAACCGCACTGCTGTGCTAACAGCCTCTGCTTCACAGCTCTGCCCTGCAGTAGGGAGGGAGGAGAAAGGGATGCTCAGTGGCTGGAGCACTGCTGGGAGCTCAGCCCAGGTCTCCTGAGGTCCCCAATTACCCGGGTTCATCTCCCTGCCACACCACTCCCAGGCTCCCTGCAGCACTCTGCCCACGCTGCTCGGCAATGTCCCCAGCCCCAAGTCTGTCGCTACCACCTGCTCTGTGCCTGTTCAACCCCAGCACGAGTGCAGAGCAGGCTGCCCCGAGGCCTCTTTCACAGGGGAAAGCCCCACAGCTGAAAACTGGCTGAAAAGGCACAGAGAGGGCTCTGAGATGCTTTCAAGATGTTCTTCCAAGAGCTGAAGGAAGCCTTGTTGCCAAGCAGGCACACAATTAAAAGGGCTGCTCCTCTGGGACAGCGGGATGCCGGTTATTCGGGCTGTGTCCAGGGACTATAAGGCAGAAGGAAGAAAGAACAAAACGTTCCCTTACTATACCTCTATTCATCAGTACTTTGGTGGGTTGGAGACTGAGACTCATCCATAGTGGGTGAGTTGTCTGTTGCTTCTCTGAACAAAGGAGAGCAAAAAAAGGAGGAAAGAGGAGAGAGGAAATGTTAAAGAAAAGAAGTGACACAGACATTGTTACGAGCTTATTAATCCAGTGGGGAAACAAGTTAATGAATCATCTTGAGAAAACGTTAGTGACACAAAAAACATGTTGGGGAGAACTGTCAATCTTTTGAGTTGTGCTGGGAGATCACAGCCTGGTCCTGCTGGGTGTGTGTCTGTGTTGTGCATCTAATGGCAAACTTCATTTGCTCCTACTGTGTTTATACATACGCCTTGGGTGTTATGCTCAGGCATGAAGCAAGTGCTGATTTGTCTCCAATTCTTTTAGCACTGGTTGTTGGTGTAGAGCCTAAGTTATAAATCTTGGTAATTTCACTTTCCCTAGCTGAAAATTTGGCTTGATGCATTTTTGCTTTGAGAGAAAGGGAGCTGGAGTCTTCTTGAATGGAAAAGTAAGAAAAGCTGGAATTTTCCAAACAGGTTTCTCAGCTGGCTGCTCATCAGTTTTACTTACCATCATCATGGAGGTATTCAGAGGAATTAGGATTGGGATGGAGACTGAGACTAAGATTTGAGTCTAGACTCAATGCCTTAATAGTGGAAATTTCAGTGTACAGTAAAGAAAGCTGCCACTTTGCCTCTCTTGTGATCCCTTGACTTCTTGTGAAATGGGACCAGGAAAATTATCCTGTTCCAAAGCCGGGAGCACATGCAAAGACCACGTGAAGTTGGATGTCAAATGTGTGAATTTAAAATCCAAGGCAGCCCTACAGAGGTTGTGGTTATGGTTCTCCTCATCTAGATTATAAAGCTCAGACACGAACACTGCTGGAGTAATTCCAGAGGTCAAACTTGGTCACAGGTGGCCAGAAGAAATTAAAGACCATGAGATTTTCCAGTGGCTGCACAGCAAAGTGTTTCTAAAGTTACTGGTCCCAATTCACAACTCAGGGGATCATATTTGTTTTCCCACTCTAGGGCCTATGGTACTGTGAGGACTGTAGTCTGAAACTGTCTAGCTGATCTCACCAAACTCCACTTAGACACAAAAATCTGGGACATGCTGAGTTACGATGGGATCTGGAAATGATCTTTATTTCATGCAGCAAGACCAAACTACATGAGATTGCTGAAGGATACCCATGGGAGCTTGCAAAAGGCTTTTTGTTTACTCCTTGAACTCCCTGCCTCACAAAGAGGTGTCAAAGAATGCAATTACTGTATTCACATGAGCAATAGCTGCCTGCAGGTAATGACTCTCTCATGCTTTGGTGAAGCACCTTAAGTTAGTGGTAGCTGAAAAAAGATGCACACTTAATAGCCATTAAGACAAACTGCTAGGGAAAACCTAGCAGAAGAATATGGTTGCTGCACACACAAATATGGTAGACACATAACCTTGCCTCTAGAACAAAGATCTCTTTAGTCTGGACAGCCAGTGTGATAGTTTATCAAAAGAGATGAGCTATTTCAACATACAAAAAACTGGAGGAAGGAGACTGTCCAAGCAGGAAGAACCTGCAGGGCTTCTTCCAGCACTGTTTGGAGCAGAGCTGTTGGGCACAGATGGTACTGCTGCATCTTGGTCAGCCTAAAATAGAGCCCCAGTGCTACAGGAGCACTGGTGAGAGGCTGGAGATGCTCTGTGTGGATGTAGGCTATCAAGCACCTGGAAAGTGCTCCCTGTACCCATGTTCTCCCTTTGCTGGTGTGCAGGGAGGTTCACCTCACCAGCAGGAGTGAGGTGAGTTCTCCAGCCCCATCCCACAGACACTCACCCAGTCTGCCACGTGAGGATGTGGTGGGGACTGCCCGGTGGGGTGGCTGCTAGTTCGCTCGACGGCGTTGAGCTCCTCTGGCTGTGAGGTAAGGCAGCTGGAACAACCAAGGGGTGGAGGGGAAACAACCAGTGAGGTGAGGGTGCAAGTGAGGTCAGGGTGGTTCAGAAGCATCAGCTGATCAGACCAGCAGAAACACATCCTGCTGTGAGTAAACAGAGCTTGGGAGTCAGACCTCATCCTGTTCCTGGATGGTTGTGCGTGGTGGTGCTATGTGTGCCATGGGCTGGAGCTGTCCCCAGCCCTGCAGG